CTTCCCAACCCCCAGCGCCCCCCCACAACAATATGTCATCAATATGTTGTATTTTAAATTTTCAAGATCTATTTTACCTATAAGTTTGAGACCTACTTACTCGAAGGACTCTACCAAAGACTTTTTTATACTTAACTTACAAAACAGTTAATAAAAAAGAAAAAATCGATCATTTCATGTGAGTTATCTTGCAAGGCTGAGCTGTATCTGCAGCCTGATATACAATGATTAACATTAAGCAAAACAGCTGAAGTTATGAAACAGCAATGGGATGGCATAGGATGTTTGTGAATGCTAACAAACATGATCTACAAGCAGCACAAGTTAAGGGCAGTCACAAGGTCACCAAATTGTGTCCACTGTAGGCTTGACTACTGGTCAGACCAGATGATTCAAGACTGTAGCAGAGGACAATCTGTGTGTCCCCAAATCAAGAAGGATGTGAATTATTACTAAGGAGTTCATGTTGTTGTTTGCAAAAGAATACGATTAATTTCCTATTTTAAAACATCAGATTTACACAATAGGAATGTATTTTTGAGTCAGATATGCACCATAAGTAGAAAACAGCACATATGTGGAGGGTGAGACTAACCATTTTCTGTAACAATGTGCTGTGATGTATGGTTTGGAAACAGTGACGCTAACAAAAGCAGGCAAAACTAGAGCTGGCAGAATTATAGATGTTAAGTTTTATTGGCACTGACCGTGAGAGAAAGTATTAGAGGTTAGTATAACAGAGGGACAGCTCGGGTTGAGCAGTTTGGAGGCAAAGCTGAGGTGGTTTGATGCAGAGCAGCGAAAGTGGATATATTGGATGTTGGATATGTTGAATATGTAGTTTGCAGGCAGGAGGAACAAAAGGAGATCACAGAGAAGATTCGTGCATGTAGTGAAAGAGGACATGCAGATGGTTAGTGTGACAGAATAGGATGATATGGATAGTGTTTAAACAGAGGCCAATGGTGACCCCTAAAGGGAGCAGCCAAAAGAACAATAAGATTGTTATTTTTTCTTTACTTTTTATTTTCCTTCATGAAATGACCATCATTTTTATTGTATCTCACCTGAAAGGGATTTAATGTTCCAGCCCCTTTGCCCCATTAAACTCAAATGCAGTGGATGGTGTTCACAAGATAGTTTAACATGAGCACACTGTTTAGTATAGCACAGTTTCCCACCAGGCTGTATTTATATATAGCAGTGGATCTCAAACTGTGACAAGTTGCACATCAACATGTATTGCATTTTTAGTCAATGGACTCTTGTATTCAAGGATTGACTCTAGTATTCAATACACTGCAGGGAAGCAATTTTCTAAACTCTGGTTTTCTTTAAACGGCTGTGTAGAAATGTGGGAAGGCTTTAGTCATGGCTCACATTGCTTTCATGGGTCGCATCTTTTGCTGCTTATGCTATATTCAACAGGAAGATTCTCACAAAGTCACAAGCTATGGAGATGAATGTGGAATGTGATGGAAACCTTAACAGATAGGAAGAAATGCAACGGTATTTATGTAACAGAGTAACTGCAAGTGGATGAAATTCTTGTAAAGGAAACAGTCAATTCTTAGACTTTCTGCCTTTATTGATATTACTATTTCAATTTAACACACAGGAGAGTGATGTCATATGTCATGAAGTGACATAATATGTGAGTCTCTCCAAAAAAAAAGTAGTTCAAAAACACTCTATGGATACATACTTCATACTCAAATCCAAAGCCAGAACTGGATCTCATAACTGGGATACAGAAGGAGAATACAGTGGCTTGCAAAAGTATTCAGCCCCCTTGAACTTTTCCACATTTTGTCACATTACAGCCACAAACATGAATCAATTTTATTGGAATTCCACGTGAAAGACCAACACAAAGTGGTGTACACGTGAGAAGTGGAACGAAAATAATACATGATTCCAAACATTTTTTACAATTAAATAACTGCAAAGTGGGGTGTGCGTAATTAGTGTCCCCCCGCAGAGGGAGGGAGGGAGGGTTTCCCCCCCTCCCTCTGCGGGGGGAAACTCCCACCAGGTTTATATCTGGGACTCTCCACCATTTGACCTTAGAACTGAAGAAGCCTCTCGGATGAGAGGTGAAACGTCTTCAAGTAACTTAAAGAAGTCCAGACGCTTTTCTTTGAAAGCTCCTTTGACTATCCTGAGTTTAGTTTTTTCATCAGTAAATTAAAATCTTCAGTCCACCTCTGTGCATCACAAACTCACAAACATGATCTGTGTGCCTGATTTAGGATCTAGGTTGAAGTCATCCTTGGTGTAACTAAGGTATTTAATGTTTTGGGGGAACATAATTATATAAAAACACCAATTATGGATTTTTGAATGGGCTCATGGTTATATAAAAATCTATTAAGAGTCAAATTCAGCGTAGATCATAATTTATTGTTGACGACCGCTTCAGATTGTTTTGGGCTTCTGCAGAGCGGCATTCCAGAGACCGTTTATGAACCACTGATTTATGGCTTTTTGTCCACTCCGGTCAGAGAGTTAAAAGTGTGTTGAAAGCCATGTTTGGCACTGACCACCTCCTGCACTCATGTACATATCTATCTATTTAGCACTTTTAATTCTTATTTTTATTTTTATGTCTATATAAGCGTTATATGACAGTATGTTTGCACTAAGTACCGCAGCAATTTCCTAATGTTGTAAACCTGCTCAACATTTGGCATTAAAACCCATTCTGATTCCGATTCTGATTCTGAAAGCATTTGTGATCTCATTGTATTTTCTAGTGAATAATGATGGCATTAGGTTTTACCAGATTCCTCTTTCAGATTGCTTCACAACAAAACTTGAAAGACAGCTGATGTTATCCCCCTCAAAGCATATAAATGAGGTCCTCCTGGGGAGCAATAACAAATCTTCAGTTGGTTGACTGTGTCAGTTCATGTACACTCTCAAATCTGAAGTGATAAAGAATTAAGCTACAAGTGGAGCATTACTTTGGCAGGGTAAGTGCTATTCCCAAACACTTTTGACTTTTATGCCTGAGCTTAATTTGTTCATTTTTGCTTAATGTCACTGAATTTATAAGAGACTAAAATGTTTTTTATAGATCTATGCAATTCAATTCAATTCAATTCAATTTTATTTATATAG